TTATTTTGTGTTGTTATAGAATAAGTTTATAGAGACGCATTACAACATAAGCAGTTCAGGTCTTCTGCATAATGAATGCTTTCACTTTGAAATGATGCTAATACTTGGATATGGTAAATAGCCCACTATAAGATTTAAAGTTATTTGGTTTGGAGTTGAACTTTAGATTTATCTGCTTACATTTGTGTCACAATTTCTACTCATTTTATTCTCCACTTTAGAAAAATGGTGGCCGCACCGGTCCATTTCTTCTCTCTGCTCGTCCCAGTGTTTCAGCTGTGTTTGTTCCACCCAGCCCACGGCGGGGCATATTATGGACACAAGCAGCCACCTCAACAGCACCAGCCCCCGCCACAGCCCCCGCCACAGCCCCTGCCACAGCACAATGACGGGTATCCTCAGCAACAGTTTTTGGGGAACGAGATGCCACTTATGCCATTACTGCCTCAGTATGGAAAAGAGCTGCCTCAGTTGCCTTTGCAAAAGGGAAAAGAGAGGCCACTGTTTGAAGGCAAAGGTGAGGACAAGTAGTTACTGGAAATGTTCACATTTGATTCAATAAAAGGACATGTCTAATATACTATCAATTGCACGAAACAATGTGCCATTTAACCCTCTAAAGTTTGCTTTTATATGTCTGTATGTGGAATTTCCTGTCTAATCTAAAATACAGAATCAAATTTGAGTGAAAATAGAGGAAACCCTCAAAAGAAACTTGAAAGTTGTGTTATTCAAAATCTGTTTTTACATTGGGTCCAATTGACATCACCACTATGGAAAAACAGAACATACGTAGATCACTCAAATTGTTACTTTTTTGCCCAATTTGTTATAAGATATATCACAATCACAAAATGAATGTAATGTGTGGTTTTGTTTTTTCTATTCTTAATCAATGCTGATTGATTTAGTGTGTCAATAATTATCTCTATCCATCAAATGTGTTGTCTGTTTTCCAGGCCAGACATTCCCCAGAGGGGCTAAAGGCCCACCTCCCCCTGGCCCTGGTGTAGAAGGTCTCAGAGAGGGACCACAAGGAATGCAAGGCCCCCCTGGACCAACAGGACCACCAGGACCGCAAGGCGCTGCTGGACAACCAGGCCAGGGATTGCCAGGGTTACCAGGAAAGCCGGGGCCTTCGGGTCCTCAAGGTTACCCAGGAATAGGAAAGCCTGGTATGCCAGGATTGCCAGGGAAACCTGGAGGACCAGGATTGCCAGGACCAAAAGGTGACCTCGGTCCAAGTGGCGGTGAGGGACCAACTGGACTTCCTGGTCCTGCTGGGCTTCCGGGTCCCCCTGGACTCCCAGGGATTTCCAAACCAGGAGGACAGGGGCTGCCAGGACAGCCGGGTCCTCTAGGGGAGCCTGGTCAAAAGGGGCCATCTGGGCTACATGGTCCCCCAGGCCCCAAAGGAGACAAAGGAATTGGTCTACCTGGTTTGCCAGGTCTGAAAGGACCTGGTGGACAACCAGGTCCACGTGGAAATGTGGGTCTCCCTGGCATTGGTAAACCAGGCCTCAATGGTGTACCTGGACAACCAGGGATACCAGGAAAACCAGGTCCACCTGGAGAACCAGGACAGCCAGGACTACTGGGGGAAACGGGTCAACCGGGACTGCCAGGCTTGCCAGGAATTGGCAAACCAGGAACAGATGGCTTTAGAGGTCAACCAGGGCTCTTGGGAGGTAAAGGAGAACCAGGCCCATCAGGTTTACCAGGGAGTCCAGGATTACCAGGTTACGGTAAACCTGGGTTTCCAGGGCCCAAGGGTCACAAGGGACATGCTGGTCTTCCTGGACCTCCGGGCCTTAAAGGCGATAAAGGTCACGGGGGTCTTCCAGGGGTCATCGGCCCCACCGGTCTCAGCGGTACACCTGGTCCCCCAGGTCCAATCGGGCCTCCCGGTATTCTCGGCTTCCCAGGACAAAAGGGAGAGTATGGTGTCGGAGGAACAAAGGGATATCCTGGAACAAAGGGTGAATTAGGGCCTCCAGGTCTTCCAGGACAGCCAGGTAGATCAGGAGAGGGTGGACAACCAGGATCGAGGGGTTTTCAAGGGCCCATTGGCCCTAAAGGAGAGGCCGGTACGAGGGGTTTACCCGGTGTCCCCGGTGCTGCCGGATTACCGGGACCAAGAGGGGAGGGGGGACATTCTGGAGAAACGGGTCACCAGGGACCTCACGGAATTCCAGGGCTTACAGGACCAGGGGGACCAATCGGACCTCCCGGACTGCCAGGGCAAAAAGGCGAAACGGGGATGTCTGGTAAACCTGGCTATCCTGGAGATGGTAAACCGGGACAGCCCGGTCACATTGGTCCTCAAGGTAACCCCGGTCCAAGTGGCCCGCCTGGATTTCCAGGGCAACCGGGACAACCCGGACCTCCCGGTCGTCCGGGACTGCCTGCCATATCTCCTGACCTCGGACAGGTCCTCCCCGTGAGCGGCCCGTACAGCGGTCAAAGACAAGGCTACAAGAAACTGAAAAATGGAGGTGAGATTGGTGGAAATGGTGTCGAGTTGCCTTCGTTCACAGCCAAGCTCACAAATCCATTCCCTCTCGTCGGCTCTCCGGTAATCTTTGATAAACTCCTGCACAACGGCAATCAAGACTACAATCCCCAAACCGGTACTTTTACCTGCACCATACCAGGGATCTACTACTTTGCTTACCACGTCCACTGCAAAGGAAGTAATGTGTGGGTGGCACTGATGAAGAACAACGACCCAGTCATGTACACTTATGACGAGTACAAAAAGGGCTTGCTGGATCAGGCTTCAGGGAGCGCCGTACTCCCGTTGCGACAAGGAGACACTGTGCACTTACAGCTGCCATCGGACCAGGCCGCAGGACTTTACGCCGGTCAATACGTCCACTCAACATTTTCCGGATACTTGTTGTACCCAATGTAAGCGGTGCGTTCCAAACAAAGTACAGATATGGAAAAGAAAACTACTTCAGGCTCAAGGGTACAACGTAGGTCAAGTTAAAATAGTTTACAACGAGTGGTGGCAGAATGATCTTTTTTATAGCGGCAACATACTTCATTGAATTATTCTTTGCATTATATGACTTACATCTGTATCTGGTTATTGGCAATGACACGTAGGAGGCGGCAAGGTGAAAACTTTCTATCAAATATCTCAGTTGTCATAGTTATTGTATGCGTATATTTTTGCATTTATTCATATATCCATCCTCACACAAATTATCAGTATCCATGACTTTGCGGGAATAATTCCTTGAACAATGAGGCTTAATGTTGTAGAATCGTATTCACTTTTCACTCGCGTTCATTTGCTTTACAGTTATAAACTGTACACTGGGCACATACAATCGTACAATGCATTTACTCTGTGATCGTAACATACAGTGACCGGGTCGGGTTAGGTATTTGGGGTCAGCATGTAGTTGTTAAGTTATTGTTGTTTTACCTTGTATTTCAGTTCAGAACGAAATAAAACCATGCCTGAAATTTGGCAGATTTTTCTTAATGACCATTAGAATTGGTTTTGTTTGTATTAGATATTGATTTTTTTGGTCAGTTTGTCAGAATTCTCTGTAATTTATTTGTTTGACTACTGATTACCAAGGATTGTTTATTGCAGTAATTAGGGGGAATTGGAACACGTTCTGTCAAAAAACAACACATACCCATTAATATCTTTTTGCATCAGTGGTTTACATTTGTTATTTTTAGTACAGCTGTTTAAACGGTGGATGTGCCATTTTGGAATGAAGTACTTAAAAACCATTGTTCCTCCCTTTTGTTCATTTCTTTCTCTTTGGACAATGGTGCACAGCATGAGCAAATAAAAAACTGTGCAAATTTTGGCCTGCGTTGCTGTTGCTGGTGACTTTAAATAAAATAAAAACTCTTGTCTTGACTGTTTTATCGTCTGCTTTACACTTTTACCTGAATGCACTGAATATTTAGCGTGTACGTAGACAACTCGACATCCGGTAAGGAAGACTCCACGCCAATTTTCAGCAAACGGACGAGAAGAAGTGCAAGATATCTGGTTTGCGCAGACAACAATGTCAACCTGGAGAAATACGAAGAGGTGGAGAGCGTGGTTGCAGATGATGAAATGGATACAAACAGAGCCAAAACAATGCAAACTCATCACACAAGAGAAATGGAGAAGTAAAATGACAAATGCAGCCAAGAAGAAAAACAAAAATCCCCTGAGATGGAAAACAATTCCTCATAATTTCTCAAGTGTTTGCAAAACAAACTATTTTCATTGCGTTTCACATCAAGGCCATACAAAAATAAAATCGATTTTATTACTGTCGTCTTTCCTTTGTCAATAAAGCTGAATTGAATGAGAGCCATTCTGACCAATCAGAGTTTGAGGTGTCACTCTTCCACTTCCGCTTCCTCTAGGCATGGACGCAGTGAGCTAGCGTCACTTTGCCTGTTAGCAAACGTTAATGCAGCTTTCTTTGTTTCGTGAGCACAACCACACACAAAGTAAGTGTTCATCCAATATCTAATAACTTTGTCTGCGTGCTCGTGTAATGACACATGAACCGAGCCGACGCTTTATATGTACGACCTACGTTAGCTAACAGTTAGCATGTAGCCGGCATTAGCCTGGTAGCTGGCCTGTATTTTGTCCTCCCTGCTTCTTTTAAAGGACTTTTAACACCTGCTCTTAAAGCGCAGCTCAAGCTCCGGCCGCGGTGACGTGTTTACGACTAATGTCAGCTTTACTTGACGATAAAGTGGCGAGTAAACTGAAACGTCAGCTTAAATATGACACGAGAGAGTTTTATATGAATGGTGGGTCTTCTAGTCAGGAGCTGTTCGTGTGATCTTCTGCCAGGAACGTTTGTTTACGTCTGTCATGTGGAGAAGTCACAATTTGCACACCCTCATCTTTGTGTAAATGTGACTGTGATATTGCTTCCATATGGGATCGGTAGCCTTAGTCTAATGTCCTAACTAGTGAAGCGATTATCTCTATATTCTTTCTTTTTTTAATATCACGCCTTAGATTATCACCAGTCTTTTCTTTTACCCAATACTGTAATCATGTTTCATGTTAGTCAGCTAACAGATCAGTTGCTCCAGCTCTGCTCTCATATGCTGCGTTTTGTTTTCAGAGACCCACCATGGCTTCTCGAGCAGGTCCGAGAGCATCAGGCACAGACGGCAGTGACTTTCAGCACCGGGAGCGGGTTGCCTCACACTACCAGATGAGGTAGGAAGGAGTGCGGATGTTATTGTTTAATTAGTTATAGGTCACTGCTTTGGATTTTTCAACACGCCTGCATCATCATTTTATATTCCTCCTCCTCTGCCTCATTTTGCGCAGCGTCGCCTTGAAGTCTGAAGTCCGTAAACTCAACATTGTCCATCTTCTGATCTGGGTTCTGATGGCAGCTCAGGTAATGTCAAACCACAAGCAACTGACACAAACCTTAAAAGAAAGCACTTGGTTTTATTCACTGACACTCATAACAGCTGGGATCGTGTTCACTTTGTAACATCTCTTCTCTTCCAGGTAACTGTGAGCCAGCTCAGCCTGGTGTCCCACAAGGTGGTGGCCTCACCGTACCAGTGGGAGTATCCCTACCTCTTGAGCATAATTCCCACGGTCTTCAGCTTCTTGGCGTTGCCTCGCAACAACATCAGCTACCTGGTGATTTCTATGATCAGCGCCGGGCTCTTTTGCGTGGCCCCGCTGATCTACGGCAGCATGGAGATGTTCCCAGTGGCGCAGCAGCTCTATCGTCACGGCAAAGCGTACCGCTTCATCTTTGGCTTCTCCGCTGTGTCGGTCATGTACCTGGTGATTGTCATAGCTGTGCAGGTGCACGGCTGGCAGATCTACTACAGCAAGAAGCTGCTGGACCAGTGGTTCACCTCCACACAGGAGAAGAAGAAGAAATGAGTTCAGTGAAGGTGTGGATTGAACCAACCAAGAATAAGACTAACCGAGACTCCCAAATGTAAAGTTGTCCTTTGCAAACTTTTTCTGGATTTATATTTGACACTTGTTTGATTAGTTCTTGGACAGCGTGTGACTGCTGCCATCACTCTGTCCATGAATCCAATCCGTCTGGCATTTCATGATTCACAAGACGTTAAAAGTGTTGAGTTTATCTGTCTGTACTTAATTATTGGCTGTACTGATGATGTGAAAACACATCATGGGGGAAATGGAAGAAGATTGTAAGTGTAATGTAATGCGTAAGTAAAAAAGTGTAAAAGAGTTATCCACACATGATGGCTCACCCCACGAGAAATAAAATGATGTGATTATCAGATTTCTGAACATGATCAATAATAACAAAACAAAACAAAGCCAGTCCTATTTTCAACAGGACAAATGATGACATAACTTGGATTAAAAATGTACAACAGTGAAAGAAAAAGCCCTTGTTAACCCATAGATCAGACAGCCTGTGAGAAGACAGCGCCTCCTCTGGCAACATTGGGGCACGTGCCAAGAAAAAATAACTAAAAAATATCTTCTACAAATGAAACTCACCTCAGTTCACTGAACCATGAAAATGTCAAACATGGTGAAACTCGTCTGAACTGCAACAGAAATGAAAGAGAAGCAATTTGATATCAGAAGGCACAGAAAGTCTGAATGTTATAAATATAGCAGTATATTCAAGTAATATATCAATATATTCAAATCAATGCTGCTTGTGATGCTGTTGGCTTAATGACCTCTTGTCCATCATTAATAAAATGTCTCTGTTGCAGTGTTGCATACAGTTTTCATGTCAGCAGAAGCCCCCCCCCCACTCAGTCTGAAACTGGAACATTAGTTCTTTTAAAATCCAAGACTCATCCCGTGTATGTCAGCTCAAGATTCTTCCTTTCACAGGAGTCAGCTCACGTTTGTCTCCTGTGAAAGCGAAGCATGGACAGTCTCTCGTTTCCAGCTCTTGTGGACAAGCACGACTGTCCCTCCAAGCCACGTTTCTCCAGGAAGCGGATGATGTCCTCTGTTGAGAAAGAGGGAGACGTGTCGAGAAACCTCTTAATCGCAATGGAAATGGCTTCAGACGTTAAAAAACTCACCTGGATCATTCTCAAGGACGGCGATGAGGTAAAACAACCCCGTAGAGGACAGCAGCTGTGCCACCGAGGGGAGGAACCTGTCCGTCACTTCTCGTCCTCGCTGTCCACCTGCCCAGGCGGCCTCTATACCTCTGGTCCCAACCTGA